TAAGCTAGTGTGGCTTTACCACGGCAGGAATGTTTGAGTTTACCTTGTAATAAAAGGCTGCCTCGTGGAAGAAACGTTCCTCAACTGGTTCAGATTGCACACTTTGAATTTTTAAGGCCAGTTTACAGCACCCAATACCTATTCCCATGCTAACCAAAGCCATCATTTTAAAGGCTGCTCAGCCTCATCCCTCTGCTCTTCGTAACCCTCCAGCCAAATCAAAGCTACACAACATATTCACAGATCAAACTGTCAAAAGTTCGCCTGCAACTACTATGGAGCATGACTGACCTCTTTGAGAGCTACTCTGTTTTGGTTAAGGTGATCTAGGTATCTTGCGAAGATGAAACTCAAACTCACCTATTTAACTCATTTTGACTTAATTTGGGGTGCTTTATTAGCAACCAGTGTAAGACAAAGTAGCTAGTATAATATAGAGTGATGTTTAAATTAGTTTACAATTTGCTTGGGCTCATCTAGAACTACTCTGAACAAAGCCATTCAGAAATGTCAGCTGTGTTCCTAACCACTGTAACAAATTGTTGCCTGAACGCTGCACACCTAATGACTTCAAATTAGCTTCACTGCGATATTGCCTGACAGTTCGTTACGACTGTTAGCAACATAGCTGGCGTATCATGACCAATAAATTGGTTTCAGTGTGGGCTGGGAAAGGGACTTCCATCAATTTGATTAAAGAAATTACTGTAGCATTCAAAGCATAAAGACAAACTAGTTTAAGGAGACAGAAATAAGTTAACTGTACCAGAAAAACATTGCCTGTGATACAAAAGCTTGTTTATACACCGTTTGTGGCACAGAGAATGACTAAATTTCAACTGTGTCGCATACTATCTTGGAGTCTGTGGGTTGTCGTCTCTCATCTGAAGTAAAATAACTTTCCATAAATGTACAAATTATTTTCTTGCTTTCTTTGTTAGTGTTACCGACAATGACTGAGAAGCACCTAGTAGAAGAACAGAGGCTTTGTGCTGGTTAGCACAAGGGGAAAAAAAAAAAAAAACAGGAACACTATTTCTTTCTATTTCTTTGCAATTTCTTCTGATACTAGAAATAAAATTAACTTTGATAAACAAACAACTGACTGGATTATTTTTTCTAATTTTAAGGTGCTCTAAAATCACATCTAAAATTAGGATGTTATATTACTTAGAGGAAGTAAAATATATCAGTTCTTATGTTCAATAAGGCTCCACTATCAAAATTAGAAAACTAACGAGCTGACGAAAACACACCAACATGCTCACTCATCTGCTGGACTAGAAAAATATTTTAAAAAAACAAGAAAAAAAGCTTATCTTTTGTGTGTGAATTTACCATTTGTGAAAGGTGACAGACTGAGAACCCTAGAGACTATGAGCCTGCTTGCTAGCCTACAGAGCAAGTACAAATGCCTCAGAATTGGGGGAAAAGAAAATACACCTCAAATGTTATCTGAAAAAATCGTGAATCCTCCGAGAAACTGCTTCTGATTACCCCATTTTTCTTGCTAACCAGGGTGCCAGTTAGCTTCTATACCAACACATTTACGTGATGAAGACAACAATCCACTTCATGCAGACCAAGGAACTACTAAGCGATAAGAGGAGACCCATTGGTACAATTCAGTTCTTTCTACTGAACTGCTGGTACAATCCAGCTCTCACACTAGTTCATTCAATGAAGAGAACAATTCCTCTGTGCCATGACAAAACAGAACTGATTTTTTGAACCTCCTGTGGGCAGTATAAGATAGTGCTGCCTTTATAGAACAGAGAAACTAGACACATTCAACTACTGGTGAATCAGACAAGTACAGATGAGAGCACTTACACTACCCTTCATAACTAATGCTCTGGATAGCAAGGCAAGTTTCTCTTAATAAAAGTAATGCATGAAAAAAATTCATTCACTGAGCAGCATGTAAGACTTACTAACATAGTAACACTCATAGCAACAAGAAGAGTATTTCCAAGGAAATTTATATTATCATCCTATGTGAACCCTGTGGAGCCTTAAGAAAACCTTATGCATTTTAGTGAGAGAACAAATCACATTTTTTAACCCATGCAATGATTTAATTTTTCTGTACGTCATCTATTTGCAATAAACACTACGTACCTGGAATATGCTTAGCCCATCCAATGATCACCACCAGTTCTCTGTCTGCCAGGTCACAAAGAGTGGTAAGTGCTTTGATGTCACTATCTGGAACAGTGGGGTCAGGCATAGCATAGATCTTCTCTGGTTCAGCCACCAGCAAATGGGAGACAATCTTGTTATCTGTAAAAATGGTCCAGAACAGCACAAGATCACCAGTAGCATCGCTCTACTTTTCAAACAGATGAGTCCTATTTGAAAGCGCACAAGAATTTGTCTTAAGATACTGGATGTAAATAAACCTTATTGTAACTTCACTGGCTTCTGTACAAGTGGTGACAGCACAAACAAATCTGATCCATTAACTTTATTTATCAACCTAGACATGTACGTCCTTAAGTAAATTTAAAGGAATACAGAAATACATTATCACCTCCTAATACTGCAATATAAACTTTATAGAAAAATATTGATGCATTATAATGTAATTGCAACTGTGCAAATAGAAAAGTTTTGTCTTCCTCTAACTACCTGCAACCCTCCTCCTCCCCCAAAGGCTGGTGTATTTTTTGAGTGAGTAAATACCACAAGCGGCTAGTCAGTCACTGGAATCTGTAACTTCTGTCAGTGAGTCTAACTACCATTCTTTGTTTTAGATGTCACTGTTAAACTGTTGTAACAGAAATCGTCTCAGGACTTTCTCATGCTCATTATCCCGTATATCTTATATTATGGGTATCTTGCCTGTAAAGATGTTAAGAAAGAATCTGTAGTCCTTGGGGCCTACACTGTGAGAAAAGTCGGTTGTTGTCATATATTTGCTTTTCAGTGAAACACACAAATTTAGAATCACGTATAAAATTAGCTTCTTTAAGTAAAAAAAGAGCCAGTCAGGAATACCTATTAAAATCAATAAGAGTGTAAAACTAAGGAACGTATCAACAGATGCAGACCCCATCTCAGAAAACTGGTTTTGTGCAAAGAGTTATACTTTATCATATTCACACACTGGTTATTTTTATCTAGAGAGTATTTACTTTCATGTGTTTAATATTTACTTTTTCATTCAGATGGACTGTGAAATCTATTTGGAATAATCATTTAAGTTATAAGGAAAAGTGAAAAAAAAATACCCAGAAAAGACTGGAAGATTTACAATATGGTGTTGCTAGTCTATATTCTATAAGTAGGATAAACATAAGATGAGTATTATATCCACATGGAGGCACAATGGAAATATCTTATCTGTATACAGGAGCCTGATTTGTTACTCTGAGAAGACAGAACCAAAAAACGGGAAAAGGACTAATTCATTAAGCCTCCTAATACAGGATACATTACTATACTTCCCAATATATTTATGGTTTACCTCTCATGGTAGGTACGTCTTGTGACCTCAAATGCACCACTAGAATTTAAAGCTGAAATATCACCCTTTAGTGAATTTACACTAATCTGTTCCCTTCCTTAGAATAAAGAGTCATGGGGCTTGAAATAAATGGGATTCCACTGGGAGAAGGTGCAAAGTATTTTCTGACTGCAGAGAAAGCTGACACAATTGGTAATATCATTTTCCCCTTCTGCATGTAAGTCACAGGATGCACCACACTGTCCTCCTGCTGGGGAGCCACAGTGGAAGCTGATTGGGATATGACTTGCCCGGGAATGTCAGAGAAGCCCATGACAGATTTCCATAAAATACTCACCTGATTCAGATTTCTGACCCTTTACTGCTCTTTTGTGACAGACTTCTCTGTTCTGATCTACCATCTCTACAATTTTTGCCTTCTTCCAAACTTGTGTGTCAGAAGTTGTGATATATGTTAGCCCCTCATAAAATAAGTGCAAGAGCCAACTGGAAACCATCACATCAAGCATGTTTTATTACGAGGGGATATATTCATGCTTTATATGAACTATGGGAACCATGCCAGCTGAGTAATTCTTAATCTCAATATTCTACTGATTATCAAACTGATTAATGAGGAATTCTATTCTTATTTAAAGATGACAGATGGTAGTTTTAACTTATATTGGCAAACAGCCTTTGCACATATTTTTTAAATTTTTTAAACAGTCTTTTCATATCCTGTTTCATTTCACATACCATCTTTTCAAGTGAGAAAAGATAACATTGCTTCTTCCCAAATTCCAGTATTTTTACATGTAATGAAAAGTAGGATAAATAAATTAGTTTCTTAATATCAAAACACATAGCTAAAGACTTCAGCACTGTGGGTATTTTAATCAGTGATAAATGAACGAAGAAGTACTCACATCCCCAAGTTCTGTTTTTTACCCTGCAAACAGGACCTCTTTCTTTTTTTTTTTTTTTATAATTAGGTTCTTCACCAATGGCTTTTTTTTAGATTATTCAGGAATATTGTATATTTTGACTCAGGATTCACAAAATCTCAAATTCTTTTTATTTTCACAATCAACAAGATCTACAGGCAGGCCATTAGATTCCATGGTGAAGCTGGAAATTCCAATAGAGTCCAGAAACAGGTGCAGGAAAGATCCTCCAAACACCTGTTCTTTTCCTACAGGAGGAAAAGGTTACCCGTGTCGGAGCATGCATTAGTATAGACCATAGGAAAATTCTGAATATACTCAGAAAGCCCTATCGCTCAGGAAATTGAATAGCCATGAGCACTTTTTCTAGGTAAATCTTACTTAATGTTTCCCTAATTAGAATCAATAGAACCCAATTTTCTTTCCTGTGGCTTTGTTATGCACAAACTATCAGCCAGGGTCCAGAAAATCTCCCAGGCTACCTCCACACAAAACTGATTCAACTGTTTGAAGTCTTGACACTTATCTGGCAGGATCTGAAAATTAAGTTTTAGAAATGTTTGTTACAAAAATGTTTGTAATTGGACGAGCTAATGAAAATGAAGGGAGGCCCTTAGACAATGAGCAATGATTTGTAAGGAGGTTTGTTTATCTCAGAGAAATGGAGCTTACTGAAATCGGTGTAGTTATCATCTTAAAGGTAATGTAATGCACTACTTTGCAGTAATCTTTGGTTTACACAGAGATTCTTGTGTTTCAGTACAAGTGCGATAACCTCTGTTCATATTAAATGGCTTGGGGTTTTTGGGTTGGATTTTTGGGTTTTTTTTGCCTGTTTGGTCTTGGCTTTTTTGGTATGCTAGGCTATCAACATTTCTACTCAATGACAATATCAAGTAAATGAAAAACTGACAATCTGTGCACTCAGGAAAACTAAACCTCTAATGAAATTAAGCATTAGAGTTTATTAAATTTTATTGTATTATCAGAAAGTTTTTATTATAATGTGCAAAATCTGCTTAGTGCAGCCCTAGATTGTATTTACAGAACGGTGGGACAGCTTATGGAGGCTGAGTAGAAGATGCCAGATTGGACAATTGAAGGAATATAATCAGCATAATGTTTTTTGGAAAGGCAAAAGGAAACTATGCCATATGTTCACTTAAGCCTTAATTTTGTGTAAAACTGGCTGTTTTTCTTTGACACAGCTAAAATGCCCTTTCACTTACAGTTCAAAGACTATTTATTTGCTCTCCAGACCCCCATATGCTCAAACGTATTGTCCACAGCACTGTCCCCTACTGGGGAACACGAATGGAAACAAATTCCATTTTCCATACGGCTTGGTATTTTCAAGAGCCTAAAACTGACGTGTGCTGTCAGAGTCATAGGGACAAGGAGGAGTTTGCCCTCCTTATTTCTCTGGCTTATTTCCTTATTTTAGGAGCAAATGAATGTCTCAACAGGAGCAACTGGATGTGTGTATTCTCAATTGAATTTGGAAGAGTTTCCAACACTTGATAGAGCATGTGTGCCTTTGCAGGGTAATACACTAGCCTCTCGCACTACAGCTATAATGCTATTAAATTTACTTCATGGAATTAGTACAGTCACTGCTTGAGTTTATATAAGCTGCAAAGCAAAACCCCTAACTATTTTTAGTTAATCGCAAAGAGGATGGAACTTGTATTTTAGCAATGAGATGATCATCTCTCTCTCTCTTTTAATTTCAGCCTGGCGAGATACAATCAAGGACATTATGAAAACATAACAAAACAAAGCAAAAAAAATCCATGAGGGTACTAGAGCCCAAACTACCAATCTATGCTCGTTATTAGTGTGGCATATTGCTGTTTTAATCTAATGCTAGGTAGTGTATTAATCTATACGTATAAATTAATGAGGCTCTTAATGTATTTTCATTGGGAGGTTGAGCAGTCAAACTCATTTAGTTAGTGAAAACTACAAAAATCACTTTATTGTGAAATCTGAAACTAGAAGCTTCAATGAACTAATGATCACAGTATGAACCATTTCATGTACTGCTGAAAACAAAGATAACCTGTAAATGTAAAATTTGCACTACATAAACCATGCTTTTATACACTTCTACCTGTGAAAATATTCTCTGTTCAACTCCAATTGAGAAAAGCCTTTTTAAAGCAAAATATGTTAATAGATAAATTGATATAGTGTTCATGGCAATATCTTCTGACCAAGCCTCTGTTCCAGTCAGAAGGAGCTTAGCAAACAGGGCTGAGTCAATACCTTGTATTCAAAGAGAAATGTTGTGTGTCTGGTGTACTCACATGGCTTTTTTGCTGGTTGAACTAGCTGAGGGTTCAGGTATGGGCTATTCTCTGCATCTATTCTGCGCTTGTACTTCTGGCGACCTCCACGTACTCTGTCTAGGCGAACACCTACATTGGGAAAATAAGCAAACATGTAATTAAATATATTATGAGGATACCTTTCAGGTAACAATCTTCTATCTCTGCCTTCCAATATTTATTTAAAATGCATGTTTATTTCAAAAGATTCATTTTGGAAAGCAAGGGAAAGCAACATTACAAGTGTCTGCAAGCTGTTTAGATTTTCACACACCCAAGACTAAGTATACAACATAATTTCCTGTTCATTTAAAACTATTTGTTCATTTTTACATATTATTAAAAACAGCTAACAGGTTTAGTTTCCATTTGGAAGAGTCTGTTCTTAAGCTGTCTTTCCCAGAAGCAAAGTTCAAAGCTGTGATAAGCACCACGGATACACAAGGCCAACATTATGAGTAGAGAAGTACAGGGAATTAGAACTTTAGAAACAGTGAGTGCTGTATACAGTTTAGACAGTAAAAACCAATGCTTTTAATTAACACGACCAGAGGATACAAAGTAAGTTGCCTTAGTAAAAGAAGAACATATATGTGGCTTAAAGACCTGAAATAGTTCATGTAGGTTTGAAAGAAATTGTACGGCTGTTCGTTTAGATGTCATACATGATGAATTAACATATGTGTTCTACCTCCATATTGTCCATCGCTTCAATAAAGCCTTCTGCTACCTGTTTTGTACAGATATATAGGAGTTTACCCTCCTGAAACTAGCTACAGCTGCTCTCAGAGACAAAATGAAAAAGGGAGGGGAAAAAAAGATGGTAGGTCCTATAAAACAATGGAGTATTTTTATTTCCTTCTCAGTCACACACACAGATTTCCAGACAACCAGGATGAATGTTAGTATAATCAAGTAGTAACATAACACTGATGTTGAAAAACTCGGCACATACGCAGGGCAACAGGACAAGTAATACCAAGTGCAAAATTTGTCCCTGATGACAGGGATTTAACTAGACAAGAATGCAAGGACACATTACATATCAATGACCCTGTGAGCGATGTAATAAAGTGCAGCTCACTTTCTCACTTTTCATTGTCTGTTTTAGCTCTCCTCCCTCTATTTATCTTTTCTATTGCCCTTATTGCGCCCTACTCTACTACTTGCCATCTCCCTGATCTCTGCCTCGCAGGAAATACCTCCAGATTTGGCTTCTGGACAGCAGAGAAGCCACCACCAAAGAAGTCACAGTGTTTGCACACAACAAGAAGAATACAGCATGGAGTTTACGTGCTGCCCACGAACCTGCACTGGAAGCACAGTCTAGTTACCAGAAAACATCTGTCAGTCCTCTTTTGTCCTCAAAAACCAAAGAGGATTGACTGGGTTTTGGTGAAGAAAAGCCGTTTTACCAACTAGCCAGAAATCCAAGGCCAACTCTTGTTGGTTTGTTTTGCTGCTTCTTCTTTTATATTTCCTGCTTTTTTTTTTGTTCATTTTCCTATTCTATCTCCTACTGTCCAAGCTGGCATGAAACTAACACACTACAACACTCACTAGCTGACCCAAGGAAGACAACAATTTAGAGATTCAATCCCGTGCTCCACTACCAGCAGGAAGGCTTTGTATGCATGGGGTTCTCATTCACCCAGACAGACTGCCGGTATTTATAAAGGTGAGTAACACAGGAGATAACTTGGCTTAAGGAAACAACCAACATCTGTAATTATAGTGCAGTGAATTGTACACAACAGTGCTCAACAGTTTTGCTCACCAGGAAAGTGGGCGATGATCACCTCTGTTTAATGGTGAAATTTCATTTGGTTTACTGCAGAAGACTCTCTATTTCACTCCCTCAAACTCAAGAAGTACATTGTATGCTACCAATTATATTTTTGTGAATCACATTATATAAATAATAAAACAAATCTACCACATACCCAAACAGGTCAGTGTATAATTACAAACGAAATCTTATTTATGGCATTTACCTGTATCACTACCAGACCTGTGACTGATCTGTAGTCTAAGCTGTTTGATAAAAATTTACAGTGATTCCATCAACAAAGCATGGGGGTTTTTTGTTTGTTTTAAAAAGTATACTTAGAAATGCATGAACCTTAAAAAATGATAGCTCAAAGCTTTTCAGAGCTGATGATAACTCGGTGTTCTCCACCCTTGAATCTGGAGTTTGAGCTACACCTGAAGCAAAAAACACTGCCATAAAAACAAATAGCAAAAGACCAAGGTTTGACAGTTGAATATTCAGAAATAGGCAGAGGATTAGAACAAGCCACATGCAATATTGGTGGGATTATGAAAAAGACTGCCCAGCATTTGAAGAAAAACAGATAGAAAATGATTTCTGCATAATTCAGATGCCATCCTTCTTTCTGCTTGGGAGCAGATTTGATTGTGATAAAAGATGGATAACATCAGATAGAAGTATGTTTAATCAAAAAGTAATGGAACTGAAGCTTAAATTAAAATAATATAAATCTACCAAGATGAACTATTTTTTTACCTCATTTGCATTTGCTGAGATACACATTCAAGCCATTCACATACTCAATGGAAGGAAATACAGACAAATGTCACAATAGCAAAATTATACATAGGATCCATGTACTCACCTATTATACAACTATTATATAACTATACCTGTAAACATAGCTACTTTCTTTTTTTAAAATAAAAACATTATAATTCTAAAAAACTGGAGAGTAACAGTATCTCACATTTCAAAATTACCTAAATCTACAACATAACTAATTCCAATTCTAATGTGAAAACATTTTTGATACCATAATACCACTAGACTATAAATTAAAGGTTTATAAGCCTTTCATTAAAACTGATACAGAGTTTATCATCATTTTAGCTCCTAAGCTTTCCTTGCTCCTAGTACTATCACAAAGTAGCTATTTTAGAATAAATTTCTGATAATCTAATACACCCTAAGTGGTATTTTACTTCCCAAGAGTTTTTATAGAAGTAAACACAATGCAAGGCACTTCTTAAGAAATTACCCATTTGACATTCCATAAAAACTTTGGAGTTTGGTGGGTAACAAACTGAAATCCAGAGGTTCCTGTACATATGCACGCACCTTCCCCTCTAATTCCTATAGCTTGTATGAGAGTATTCATTACATGAAGATATATTTATCTGCTCTCAAGACAGTAAGAGCTGATGCCTTCTTCATTAGAAAAACAAAGGGAAGAAAGAAAAACACTTCTGACCACAAATATCTTCATTTGGGGTGGGCGGAGGAGCTTATCATCTTGATCACAGAGGTAATTGCTACAATTCAACATACAGTCTGTATTCAGACCATTAAGGAGGATACTGTGGCACCTAACTAGCGTACAGGGACAAGTTAAGGAGACCTCTGCTTTAGCTCTGCTGTTCATGTGGCTTGCCAGAGTCCTCAGCAACTCAGTTCAGTTGCCCTATCAGCCCTCACCCATAAAGTGAAAAGAAAGGTATCCATTCCACCTATATAAACTCATGTCACATCTCCAAATGAATTGCACTGTACGTATAAACATTACAGTTGTTTAGGGTTAAAACAGCCATTAATGTCACTGAACTAAGATCCACTGAAGACAAGTAAGTTGATTCTCTGCATTCCCCAACACTCCGATTCATTTTAAAATTCTTCAACAGAAAAACAAAAACGAAAGCCCTAACGAAAAAAAATGGGGATAGCCACAGGGCACAAATAGGAATACCGCTTACTTTCAACAGTTAAGTGCAACACATTCACTTGCCATCTTAGGACAGGTACAGCTCATTAACTCATCTGTTCTGGGGTGATGGGTAGTCACGCATTTTGATATGATTTACAAAGCTCAGAAGATAAGGATTAGACCAGAACTGTAATATATGGAGACATGGCAGCTCTGTAAATCAATGTAAAAGCTACTTTTTTAAAACAATGCAATTACACAATACTAACAAAACATGAGAATTTCTCAGCTGTCCTTAAGGGGAAAAAAAATTGTCTCATAGTCACTATACAAGCTTCTACAAAAAAGGTTTACCTCTTGGTCCCTCACACAGTCTTTGCGTGATTTCTGTCAAATGTTTACCAACACACAAGGAAATTATATTGGGCACTTACTCTCAAGTGAAAGTGTCCACATAGTCTTGCACAGAAATAACTGAAGACTAGAGCTGATGTACAAAATGAGCTACGCACCAGGTACTTCAATCTAAGCAAACTTAACACAGGCAAACCTGAAGCCTCCATTTTCTCCGTACTTCCTCATCTGTTCCTCCATTACCAACAGACACAAATTATTACTCCTATTCTGTAGACCTTTTCTCACACTGCCTTGAAGCCCTCATGTGAGACAGGTACCCACTGTGACTGGTGCTATATAATAAAAAAGACTGCCCTTACCCCAATATATCATTCTTTTTACAATTCAGGTCCTCAGTATGATAATCTTATTTAACCATGTCATCTCATTTTCCATACAGATCCAATCCATATCCAAAGTATACTATTTACTCCTTTATAATCCACCTCTGTTCTTCTTTTCCATTCCCTCCTTGGCTAAAAGTCTCTGGTGTTCATTTGTCCACTTGTCCAACTAACATTCTTGTCCTTTCCAGGGAGCTCTGTACCCCCAGCAAATCCTCAGGCTACCTTGGAAGGCATTAGCCCAATTCTTCAGATCAATACCTCCCAACACCAGGACTGCCCATAAGAAATTGCTTACTAACTACCATTGGGGAAGAGCTTTTTATTTTGAAAAAAAATAAATCTAATTCACTCATATATGAACTAATATCTGAATAAATCAAAACTCCCTCTCCACCTTCCAGTACATCAATAAAGAATAGATTTGAGATCAGAATCAAACCTGCAACTTTGACATCCTATGGAAATTTCAAATTCTGTTCCCTTTCCGTCCCCCCTACGAGAGATTTATGGCAAGCAGATATGCTGTACACTGATGGCGTTCTGGCAAGCTCCATCTCTAATACAGAATTTGGTAAGTACTAGACATGTTCCTATCTCATTTTCTGAGATATGTATCTGGGTAACACACTCTTTTCCACAGATGTCTGTAAGA